GCAAACTCCCTGACCCTCTCTCTGGCTCATACAATCTTTCTGTCCCCTCTGGCAATATTCTCTGAGCCTTAGGTAGGGGAGTGTTTTTTTTTTAATATATCCACTGGGACTGGAAACATAAACACAAAGTAACAGTATACCAATTCAATTTTATTTAGGGTGTGTGTGAAAGAGTATACACAAACACATACATACATGCAGCAACAATGTAAAAAAGAGGCCATTAATTTGAAGGAGAATAGACAGGGATAGTTATAAGGGAGAATTTGGAATGAGGAAGAAGGGAGAAACACTATGATTAAAATATTAACCTCAAGGCCTGGCAATGATTGTGCAGCCTTTAATCCCAATACTTGGGAGGCAGAGGCAAGCAGATCTGTGAGTTCAGGCCAGTTCTATCTACACACACACACACACACACACACACACACACACAGAGAGAGAGAGAGAGAGAGAGAGAGAGAGAGAGAGAGAGAGAGAGAGAGAGAGAGAGAGAGAGAGAGAGAGAGATAACCCTGTCTCAAAAACTTACCTCAGCAGAAGGGGTATTGGGGGAATAGGAGGCAGGAGAGGGGAGGTCGAGGGAGCTGGGATTGACATGTGAAACAAGCCATGTTTCTTATCTAAATAAAATAAAAAATTACAACCTCAAAAATCTCAAATAATGCACAAATACAGTAAACAAATAAAAATGCTAGTAGCAAGTGCAGATCATGAGCCATCAAGGTATTAAAATTAAAATGATAAAGAAAAAGATCACTACATACTGATAGCTAAAGGGAAACTAGAATATCATAAAGGAAAATAGCAACAATGCAAAAAAGCTGGCAGTCACAAAAAATTCATACACTGCTAATGGGAATTTAAAAATGGAGTCCTTTTGGAAAAGTTACTTTGAAAACTAAACATGCAACTACCCGGCAATTATATTCCAGAAGTTAAAATCTATGCTCATACATGGAACCAGAGGTTCTTTGATAGGTGAATGATTAAAATTTCATCTACCATACTATTCAATAATGAAAAGAAACACATTATTGATTAAGAGTATATTCTCTATAAATCTCACGGATCTCCAAGGAACTGTGCTAGTGGTAGGAGGCAGCCTAAAATGGCTATAGTCTGTGTTCATTTATTTAGCATTCTCGAAATGACAAGAAGAGACATGGGAAATAGATCACTGAGAGACAGAAAGTGACTGTAAATATAAAAAGGCAACACACGGAATCCTTGTTGGATAAAACTGCTCTGTGACTTGCCTGGAGGGCTCACAGAAAGTTACACATGGTAACACTGCAGAACTAAACACAGACAAACTGTATGTTAAAAGTGGTGGAATACTGGGGCTGGAAAATGGCTTAGCAGTTAAGAATGAGAGTTTAGTTCCCTGCACCTCTGTCAGGCAGCTCATAATTCCTATGGCTCCAGCTCCAAGGCCCTCTTCTGGCTTATGTGGGCATGCACACATACATACAAATTTAAAATGAAAATAAATTTTTAGAAATAAAAGAAAACCTAGTGGAATGTAAAAATGATGGACAGACTAGTTCACCTTTTTAATTGTACTAGAATATTTATGAGACCAACACTCAGTGAAATCAGACATAGGGTATAATTTATGACAACCTACAACACCACAATTCATAATCAAGAGAAAAAAGTATAAAAATATAATATCAGCCAGTAGCAAGAGTTGTAAAACAAAAGCATGTGTTTCTCCTAAGGAAATCAAGGAACAGAGGGGAACTATAGAGCCTGCCTGTGGTGGCACAGTCTTTAACCCCAGCACTCAGGATGCAGAGGCAAGTGGATCCTTTGAGTTAAAGGCCAGGCTGGTTCCAGGACAGCCAAGGCTATACAGATAAGCCCTGTTTCAAAACACAAAAAAACTAAAATGAACCAACAGTTTACAAAATAATATATTTATCTCCTCCTCCTTTATTGAGACTTAACTTCAAGGGGATTTTGTTCATCCCGACTTGGATGATTTTTTTTTTGGTTCTTCAAGACAAGGGGTTCTCTGTATTGTTTTGGAGGCTGTCCTGGAACTCCCTCTGTACAGACCAGGCTGGCCTTGAACTCAGAGATCCACTGCCTCTGCCTCCCAGTGCTGGGACTAAAGGCGTAAACCACCAACTCCCGGCTTGATATGACTATTTTTATTTATTTATTTATTTATTTATTTTTACTTTTTTGGTTTTTCAAGACAGGGTTTCTCTGTATTGTTTTGGAGGCTCTCCTGGAACTCGCTTTGTAGACCAGGATGGCCTCAGAACTCACAGAGATCTGCCTGCCTCTGCCTCCCGAGTGCTGGGATTAATGGTGTGCACCACCAAGGCTCTGCAGATATGACTATTTTTAATAAAAATAAACTACATGTCCATGTCTCACTAAAACCACACACCATCCTCTCAGACTACAATTTCATAGAATAGGTGTTGCTCTCATCATATCCTGAAGGTCTACCACAAAATACATGAGCCACTAAGAACAAGAAAGTAAAATGAATTTATAAATAGCACATGCTTTTTAAATGATTTTTAAAACACTTTTGTTGTTGTTTGAGATAGGGTCTCTCTATGTAGCCCTGGAACTTTCTATGTAGACCAGGCTAGCCTCACAGAGATCTGCCTGACTCTGCCTCCCAAGTGCTGGGACTGTCTGTGTGTCACAACATCCAGCTGAATCCTTTTACTTTATGTGTACCACATGTATGCCTGGTGCTCACAGGGGCCAGGAGAGGGTGTTGGATCCCTAGAGACAAGAGCTATAGCCGGGCAGTGGTAGTCCAGGCCTTTAAGTCCCAGTACTCAGAGGCAGAGGCAGGCGATCTCTGTGAGTTCAAGGCCATCCTGGTCTATAGAGGGAGCTCCAGGACAGGCTCGAAAGCCACAGAGAAACCCTGTCTTGAAAAACTTTTTAAAAAAAAGAAAGAAAAAGAAAAAAGTAGGAGTTACAAGGCAGGAGTGAGCCACCATGTGGATGCTAGGAATTGAACCTGGTTCCTCTGGAACAGCAGTCATTGCTCTTAACCACTGAGCCATCATTCCAGGTCCTCTGTATATGGTTTTAAAGTTACTAGTCAGTTACAATTTTAAGGCTGTATGTTCACATCCTCTTACAAGTCTCTAATGGCCCTGAGTGTCTACATCTCAGTGTGATACCCGTATTTCTCATTCGAAAGTGAAGCTAACCTAACTGCTTCTGAATTTATGTACATGTAGCAGTCACTCGTTAAGTCAGGATGAATTAAGAACTAAGCATAACTTGATACACAGACCTTTGAGAAAACGTTCTAAAGTGATGTAACAAGATTCAGCCACAGCCTTAATGTGAAGGGTATTAAATTACATATACATTCATAAAAATCTCCAAATACAGGATCTAACATGAGGGATTTATGTATCATTCTGTCAACCGTAGATTCATTTTCATTTCTATAAGTGAAATCTAAAAAAGTGCCTTGTTCAAGGTTGGTATAGCTGGATACAGCTGAGGCTAGAATCTGAACATCTCCAGAGTCTGGATTCAGATCTCTAGCCGTCTAATTGGGCAAGATTCTTTGTTCTTTCTCCACCCATCACATCCCTACCCAACTCGGTCACAAAAAAATCTATTACTTGATTTAGTTTTAAGAATATTTTTGAAAGAACCCACAAAACTGAAATCACTCAAACTTTGACATCGGTCTAGCACATTTTGCCCTTTTGCAGATTCAGCTGAAAAGATAAGCTAGTTTGCAATTTAAGGGAGGCCTTACATTTACATTTTGGCTTGACATGCTCAGTATCAGCTCTGTAATTGATAGCCACTGGCTGACTTATATATCAAGAACATTTGAAAGCCTTGCTTGTTGGAAGTGAAAAAAGGAAAAAAAACTAAAGTTACAAGTAAGAGCAGGAAATGTCCATAGCAATGTGTGACTAAGCATGAATTTAGAGGTCTAAGAAACAAAATGCAAGAAGGAACCTCAGTTATGCTTGAATTTGAATCCAACTGCCTGACAGCTGGGCATATTTTCACAGAAGAGGAAACTGAATGGTTGATTAAACCATTAACCAGTAAAGCAAACGGCTTACTTCTTCAGCAAGGTTCATTTCCCCTTATTCCGATCCTTACCGTCGTTTCTCTAAGTGAGGACTGACTTTTGGGTTTTTTTTTAAAGATGAAAAGTACAAAGGAGAAAATTAATTTCAAGAAAATGAAAAATGTCTTCGAAGGAGATGCTGGAGCAAAAAAAAAAAAACGGGGGGGAGAAATGACGTCTGATTTCAAATATGTAACCGGTTAGGCAATGAATCACATTCTCCTAGGTTTTTCTGTCTATAGACATCAGCCACAGTTCTTTTCGGTACTCGAATGAGAGGAAGAGGAAGTGAATAAACCTAGTATCAAATATACCTACTGAACACGGGGATGAAGACGGGAAGAACACACCATACATGCTTCAGCTAGGATCCAGCTGTTTGCTAACATACCTAAAGGTATGGATGCTGAGAGGGTATCTATCGAAACCTAAGGCACCCCCCTACTCAAACTGGAGGGGGCAGATGTTTCTAGAACCAGAGAGACATCCACCCCCCACCCCGCTCGCGCCCCGACCCTGTTAGAGTGACTGGGAGGGGACAAAATGGAGCTGAGGTCTAGGGGCGCCCTAAAGGTCGTTTGGAGGTCTAGCAGGCACTTTGTGTCAACTGAGACTTGGCATAGCCCTGTACCCCCGGGAGGAAGAGTTCTCATGGTCCTCGGATTCGGGGAGCTACGCGGAAGAGCCAGGCAGGGTTCTAGAAGATCCCGGAGCGCATCCAAGAAGAGAGTGACAACGATTATCTCCCCCGAATCCCGGGAATTTCCGGAGCCAGCGGCCGCTGCTGGGAAGCCGAGCGCCCCCCTGACCTCCAGCCGGCTCAGGTGAACAACGCGAAACCCGCCAGGGATGGGGGGGGCCCTCCCGGGCACCGAGCGAGCGACCGCAGCCTCCCCAGCCTAGGATCACTCACCTAAGGTTCTGCCTCGTCCACCCACGACGTCTCCACCACTCGGTCTGGCCTCAAAGGAAAGGAAGCTCACGGAGAGGAGCCTACGTGCCCGCTAGCTCAGGAGCTGCCTCGCAAGGAGGGGCGCGCCGCGGAGGCCAGGGGAAAAAAAAGCCGCAGCGGCGCGCGCGCAACCCGGACGGCCAGAGGAGGCGGGGCGCGGCGCGAGCCCGGAAAAGACGCGCCCGGAGGGGCGGGCGGAGCGGGGGTGCGCGGTGGTGTGGCTGAGCCCGCCGAATCGCAGGCGGCCGCCGGCTCGGCCCACCCACGCGCCCGCCCCCGCTCGCTAAGGACGTCACCGCCACAGAGGCGGAGCCCGGTGGGGCTCGTGGCGGTTGCGAAGGACGATGGCTGCTACGGAGGGGTCGCGGATCACTAAAGGCTACCCAGAGCCCATTGCCACAATGCTGGGCAGAACCGCCCGGGAGGGCTTGGCGCCCGATGGCGGAGAGTTGCAGAACAGGCCCACGCCCTAGCGGGATTCCCAGGACTCCACCCAGGATGAAAGTTCCCCCGAGGTCATCTTCCAGCCGCCCTTAGTAGATACCTATCTTTGGATTTGCCTCGTGCTTCCTATAGGAGAGATCTTAACCCCGTTTTCTGCCTTCTAACTCCTGAAAGTCTGAGCCAAAGCCTCCCATCCTTTTATCTTGCCTTGAGCTGTGTTAAGATCCTTGATCCCTCAAGGCTCACGAAATGTCTCTTGAAGGCAGGCTTTTGCACGTCAATCAGTCAAGGCAAAAGAGCCCACAACTGATAAGAAAGTCAGAGCAGTACCGTGAGATCATATTGCTTCTAAGCCTATACTTGATAAAGGCTTTTTTTCTCCCCCAAAGAGTTGAGAAATTGTTTCGAATAAAATCCCAAAGGCTATCTCAGGGCTGCAAGACATTGTAACTGAGAATAAGCCACAACAAACTGCCAAGAGTACATCGCCAAAAGAAAGAAATGTCAACTATTCTTCCAATTCTTTGATGCATAAGAGTGAACTGGTTGCTTTTTTTCCTGCTTATTATGGGTGTTTTGCTTACTAGTTTTCATTTTCCTCATAGAATGACTGTGTGGTGTACACAAATACACACAGAATTGCTCATTTTAGCTGGTTACAGTAGTTCTTAGCTTCAATGTGTATCATAATCATCAGGTGTTTGCTCAAATGTGAGTACCTAGACAAATAATCCTCAGATGTTTTAGTCTGGATCTTAAGTAGGTGAAATTTTTGAATCTTTTTTTCTTTTAGTTTTTCGAGGCAGGGTTTCTCTGTATTGTTTTGGAGGCTGTCCTGGAACTCACTCTGTAGATCAGGCTGGCCTCAAACTCACAGAGATTCACCTGCCTCTGTCTCCCAAGTGCTGGGATTAAAGGTGTGCACCACCAACGCCCGGCGAAATTTTTGAATTTTAAGAAGCACCCAAGCCGGGCGTTGGTGGCGCACGCCTTTAATCCCAGCACTCGGGAGGCAGAGGCAGGCGGATCTCTGTGAGTTCGAGGCCAGCCTGGTCTACAAAGTGAGTTCCAGGACAGCCTCCAAAGCCACAGAGAAACCCTGTCTCGAAAAACCAAAAAAAAAAAAAAAAAAAAAAAAAAAAGAAGCACCCAAAGGAGATAAAGTGTGTGCTTGCCTGAGAGCAGAGATTTTCAAATTGTTTGAGAGTTGCTATTTTAAAGCTGTAGTGCTTCTTTTATTCCCAACAGACCCACCAACTTGTATATTGTTTAGTCACTCATGTACTTTTCCTTTCTCAAGATTGACCTAGAAAGTTCAGGACTTCAAACAACAAATTTAATTGTCATCTTTATTTTTATAAGATCTTGTTGTAATACCAGAAACAGATAATTATTAGCTGGCTATATATCCTACTAGGGACCTACAGTGTACAGAGACCTGTCATTTATCCTCAAGTTAATACAAAAGAAATTGGAGGGACAAACATTCACTTGTTCAACAACTTAAAGTTTAGTTATGGAATTAAAACACAGGTACCACACAGACCCAGTGTTCCACATAACTCAACCTGTTAAACTAAGCAGGAAAAGAACTTGTAACCAATGATACTTTTTCTAGTTTCCTTCATCATCAGTCACGTAGCCCAGACATTTTTAATTAAGTCTTCTGAACTCAGTAGTCCTCAGGAACGTGCAGAAGTCCCTCCAGCTTTACAAGGTGTAAATAAAGGAGGGGAAAATTGGATTTTGTTTGTATATACATATGTGTGTACATATCATATATGCGTGTGTGTATACATATGTATGTGTGTATCAAGCGAAAAGCTACATATCATTTAAACTATTTGTCATTAAACTATTCATTAGTGCCCACAGTAGGTCTGGTCACCTTTACTATCTACCAGATCTTTTCCTGAATGCTTAACCAACAACATTCAGGATAAAGAAGAAAAGCTACTTGTGCAAGAGAGAAAACAACCAGGTGTGGTGGAGTACACATTTAATCCCAGCATTCAGGAGGCAGAGACAGGTGGGTCTCTGTGAGTTCTAGGTCAGCCAAGGTTACATGAGACTGTTTCACCAACCAAACAAAAATTCACCCAAATTGGAAACAAATATTTCCAAAGAACTTCTTTTTTTATTGTTTCCAGAGCAAAACCAGGAGGTAATGGCACAGGCCTGTGACCCAGCACTCTAGAGCCCTAGGCAGAACCAAGTTTGAGGCCAGACTGAGCCACAAAATGAAAGCCTGTCTCAAGATCACACTATATCAATTAACAATGGAAGGAAGGAAGGAACGAAAGAAGGAACGAAGGAAGGAGGGGGAGGGGGAGGGCAAAGGAGGGAAGGAAGGGAGGGAAGCAAGAAAAGATCTCTAAGACCTCTGACCTGGGAGCAAAACATTTGTCCCTCCCCCAAGCAGCTGTCTGACATTTTAGAGCCATTGCAGTTTTTAATGCCTTAGGAAGATGGAAGATTATTATCTTTGAAAGGTGCAGAAACAGATGCATATGAAACAATGAGTCCAGTCACAAAACTAGTCATTAAGAGCTTGGAATTCCTACACTCCCAGGGGCTCACTGTAAAGCACACTCAGTAACATATCACCAAAATCAAATTAGAAACAAAGGGAAATATAAGATGCAATTGTCAAGATTCAAAATACAGTATAAAAAGGGAGATATACATGGTAGAAAAACAGAAAAGGTACTACAGGGTAGAGGAGGACACTAGAGAGAGGTAGCAGTGAGGACAGTAGGATACAGGGACAAATAAGAGCAAACTATGTATGAAAATGTCATAATGAAAATCGTTACTTTGTATGCTAATGTTAAAAATTCACTTGAAAGCTATTTTAATAACTAAATAGGAAAATAAAGCATCTGGAAGCTAAATAGAATTGAACAAGGCTGTTCTGTTAGCAGCCTTGCTAACTTCGCTCTTGTGTAATAAGAAGCTGAAATAGATAGCCAGGCTGCTCTTGGCATTAGTTATTTATGGAAGGACAGAAAACAACTGTTCTTCACTGACTATGGACCAAGTCTTTGCATCTTAAACTTACTTCTTGGGTTACTAGAATAATTTCCTCCTAGAGCCCAAATACAAGCAGCAGGACTTTGTAATAATATTTGAATACACAAATTATGTTAGAGCTTTCCATTGACAAACTTTATTTTTACAGACCTGATAACCAGGCAAAATATTTTCTTTAGTACTAAGTATGAAGCAACCAGTGAAATCAGAAACCTCAGAAGATGATCTCACTGTGAATGAAATAATAAACTAAGTGACTTCGAAACTGGTCAAAGACAGAGCTGCAGGTACAACTCAGCGATACTGCTCTTGCCTGTTAATCCCACTGGTCGAGAATAAGCCCACTACCACAGTCTAAAGCCAAATTTGAAGCAAGCTTTAATTAAATACCGGCCAGGTGGGTAGCCTCTGATCAGGTCCATACCTAGATTCCCAGGAAGTAGCCCTGAGTCAGGGTTGGTAGCAGCTTAAGAGGGAAAACCCATCTGGTCCAATCAGGAGCAAGCATACACCCTGAGGTACCTCCAGCCTACATACAGTCGGGGGCAAGTTTATTTCCTGCCTGTGAACCTCCTGCCCACATGTGATCAAGCACATCTGGTACAAACTTGTTTACTGGAGTGAAAAGCATGTGGCTTGTAATCTCCAGTAAACAATAGCCTCCAGCATTTCAGGAACTATCTGTCCTTGAGCAAGAGGCTTGCAGATCAGAGGCATTTTTGTTTCATGGATCACTTAGGCATAGTAATTTAAACTTTAAAATGTAACTTTGACTCTCACATTCTCCCCTCTCCCCCCTTGAGTTGTATCCTGAGTCGAATCCTTGACTCTGTGATTGGTACCTGTTTATATTGGGGTCTAATAAACATCAGCTTAATGTTACCCAGATAGGAATTATCATTTGTTAAGGCATCAGTGGTGCAAGAGCCAACAGCAATTAGCAGAAGCAGAAGGGTCAAAGACCCTGTGATGGCTGACATCAGAGTTACTATCTAGAAGGAACCTGGAAATGAGAATAGGTTCCCCTTTTTGCAATGACTTTTTGTGGGTGGGGGCGTTGAGACAGGGTTTCTCTGGGACTTTGGAGGCTGTCCTGGAACTAGCTCTTGTAGACCAAGCTGACCTCGAACTCACAGAGATCCACCTGCCTCTGCCTCCCAAGTGCTGGGATTAAAGGCATGCACCACCACCGCCCAGCTAGCAATGATTTTTTTTGTACAGCCAGATTATTTCTAATGATTCCTGACTGGTTTATATAGAAGCAACAATTTTCTCTTCAAGCTATATAATAACCTATCCATTTTACATGGAGCAGGTTGAGTGCCCTATCATGCTATAGCACTATTTCAGCTAATGAATCTACATGTGGATAGATCTGGGCCTATTTGGTCTTAACAGGTACCTTTCTTGGTATGCCCATAGGCACTGTAGGTAACTATTTTGTCTCCTATGCTAGGGAATTTCCTTTTGATCTAACATTCCAGCCTCTTAGGGGACAAGGGGTGATAAACTTTCTTCTGTAACTACTTCCTGTTGAAACTAGGCCCAGGAAGGCTGGAATGCTAGACAAAGGCAAGGAGGGAATTAGAGCAATGGAGCATTTATCAGACATATCTTGCTTTCTGACCTAGCTGAAGAAACAGGGAGCAATCACATTGGCTAGTCTGGTCCACATCAGCTTTCAGCATGCCCATGGTTGGTAGTCATTCGGAGCAGGTTGTAGTCAGTAGTTGATGCTTGGATGGTATCTCTCAGCCAAACGGAAACCTGCTGAGACAGATATACACTAGTGACAGAAGTTAAAGTTTAGGAACTTAAAGGAATATACTATATTTGGAACTTTCAGGCCTATAGTCCTAGTAATTGGTGAAAGGAATGAGTCCTGTGATCAGGAAAGAGACAAGAGATTCCATCCATAGTTTGGAAAGCTTAGGCTACACTTATCTGGAGTCCTTTGAACCTGTGAAAGGTGGATCCAAGTCTTGTGACTCCCTAGATTCTCCGATGTTTGCATGAATTTTATTTTTAGTTTACAAAATTACATAGAAGTTTTAGATACTATTAGCATTACCAATCTCTACTAAAATTCACATCGTAAAAAAAAAAAAGCAGGTAACTGGTGTCTGCAAAACAGCTGGAGTAGACTCTCTTTTTTGAGTCCTAGCAAAAGGTATAGATTTGGGTTAAAACTCATGAAAACTTTTTCTCTGTGCATAGAGATAGATATAGATTTGACAGAGATGTCTTTGGCCCAATGAGAAACACCATTAATATTTACAAGACAATCAAAGAAATTTTAAAATTTGAGCTTGTAGCCAGGCGTTGGTGGCACACGCCTTTAATCCCAGCACTTGGGAGGCAGAGACAGGCGGATCTCTGTGAATTTGAGGACAGCCTGGCCTACAGAGTGAGTTCCAGGACAGCCTCCAATGCCACAGAGAAACCCTGTCTCGAAAAAAATAATTTGAACTTGTGACTAAACAGTAAATAGTCACTGCTCTACCAGCTTATCAGAACTCCATTGATAAATGTTAAAACTCTGAATTTTTGAAATCTCATATATCTTAAATCATTTATTTATATCTTTACAACTTGCATTTATACATCTTAAATCATTTTTCTGAGTCCCTCAGAACTTATTTAAACTTTCACATCCTCAGACCTTTATATACCTTAGAACATTTTCTTAAACCCTCAAAACTCGCATGGGCTTTAACACTCTTTCTTTTTTAAAAATTTGTTTAATTTTATTCTATGTGCATTGGTGTGAAGGTGTCAGATCACCTGGAACTGGAGTTACAGACAGTTGTGAGCTGCCACGTGGGTTCTGGGAATTGACACAGTCCTATTCAGCCTGGTAAACTGAGCACCAAAACACTGCCCCTTACATGCCAACTCTCTCCAGTTCTCTTTTCAGTGTTATATCCATAGGCACCCACCATACTGACTAACTATTAGTTTATATTTCTTAATTATATGCTACATTTTCAAATGAGCTGCATTGGTACAATGTCCTAAACAAGACTAGAAACATATACAGTATAACAAAAATAACCTTAAATTTATATCACTATATACAAAAATCCTTACCAAAGTGAAATATTTGAGACTAGTAGTTTTTTTTAGTTTAAAAACTAGATTCCAGCCGGGCATTGGTGGTGCACACCTTTAATTCCAGCACTCAGGAGGCAGAAGCAGGCGGATCTCTATGTGTTCGAGTCCAGCCTGCTCTACAGAGCGAGTTCCAGGACAGCCTCTAAAACAATACAGAGAAACACTGTCCCAAAAAAACCCAAACAAACAAACAAACTACATTTGATAATCTACCCTTTTATCCTATCATTATTATTTTTAAAGTGGATTCAATAATCTACCCTTTCCTAATATCCCCTCTCCGTTTTCTTTGGAAAAAGATTCCTCAATCTAACCTCCTTTGTTTAGTTTTCCTCCTTGTCCATGACCAATAAAGATCCCTCAATCTAACCTCCTTTGTTTAGTTTCCTCCTTGTCCATGACCAATAACAACTTGCAACCAATACCCATAAACTATGACAAACATCCACCACATGACCAGAAAATATCCACCTCACCTCTTGGCAATGTAGGCATCATGTTCTCTAGACTGCTTCCTGTTGTCTGGGGGTGATGGCATCTCTAGGGGTCCCTTAAAAATTGTGATAATGGTCAAGTCCTGAGAGAGCTAGTTGTATTATTTTTTTGTTTAGTCTCTGTGTAATGGGAAAGTATAGAGTTTACCTGAAGTCTTGGCTGTGAAGCTAGAAGCCTTGACGTTGTTCTGGGTGTAGGTTTTTGAGGAAACTGTAACTGAGGCATTCTGAAAGGCTGGATCATTTGGGCTAGTTGTCATGTCTTTATTCATGTTCGGTCCTTTTGTTCTGAAAATACACAAACTTCTAAAGGTAACATACATATCTGTTAACACAAATATGGAATGTGCAGTGTGCATTAAGTCAGCTAAAGATGATTTGTTTTATGTTTGAGCAGGTAAAAAACATCTGTCAACTTATAAATTCATTTGGACTGTATAACTAAACTGTTATGAGGATTCTGTAGTCAACAAGATTTGTCAGGTCTCATCTAGTCTCAGAACCATTCCCATGTGGACGAATCAGCATACATGTCACCTGTCCTGTAATCTTTCCTGACTTCTTCCCACATGTCTGTAGCCAAGATCCTCAGGAGGTCTTCCCCAGTCAAATCTGGTTTTTATTAATTTTGAGGGAATCCATAGCTTTTCATTTCTTGTAGAAAGAAAAGCACAATCTCTCTCCCAAATGCAACACATTTTCTAACTTCCATTCTGAAGCCAAGACATCCTTAAAGTATATAGGCTTGTTTAATTCAGTAGTTCTTTCCACAATCCAATGTCTTAGCAACTGCCATTCACTCATCAACATTAAAAAATTCAAAGTAAAAAAAAACAACATACAATATCCAGGCACCCATTCTTATGTGGCTTATTTTTTATATTATTTTATTCTTTCTTTAAAGACTCTAGTCAGATATTTCTTAATTATACTTAACAGTTTACAATCACTTATTAGCTTTCATAAAACTAGGACTTGCTGGGGTAGTGTTTGTGAGAAGGATCTGGGGAAGCATAGAGTCTAGCATTGCCCTTGACAAGTTAATAGGCACCATAGCCCTGTGTTAATGGAAGTGCCACAACTTCGTTAGACAGAAATAAGAAGAAAGACTCCCTCCCCTTTTTTTAATGAGACAGGGTTTCTCTGTATTGTTTTGGAGGCTGTAGGACCAGCCCAGCCTCCAAACTCACAGAGATCCACCTGCCTCTGCCTACCAAATGGTGGGATTAAAGGCATGGGCCACCACCGCCCGGCAAGTCTCCCCTTTTTTATCAAGCAGGAACTTTCTTCAAACCTCTGAGGAAATGGGGACTTTTGTCTAAATGTCTAACCTTGGGAAAAGGACAAAAGGACTTTATAAATTTATCTCTGTTAAATTTGAGTCCTAAAAAATTTCTGATTAGAAGCTTTTTTAGTATCAAAATAAAACTTTAAACTCATAAACATAATCCACAGAGACTGGGAAATTTCTTGATCCTTTTATAGTATACCATTATAGAATATAACAGTTTATTGTATGACTTAGTTTATCAAAATAGCTAAGCTTAACAAAGTTAGAAAAGATAAGGAGACTAGACATGTATTCTTCAGCATGAATAGACCTTAGTTTAGGTAAGGAGACATTCTCTAAGCTAGTGTTCCTCAATTTTCCCAATGCTTCAACCTTCAATACAAGTCCCCATATCATGGTGACCCAGCCCCCACCACCACTGCAACTTTGCCATTGTTTTTGTTGTTATATTGTTTTGTATTTTTTGAGACAGGGTGTCTATGCAGCTTTGGAGCCTGTCCTGGAACTTGCTCTGTAGACCAGGCTGGCCCCAACTCATAGAGATTCACCTGCCTCTGCCTCCCAAATGCTGGGATTAAAGGTGTGCACCACAATTTTGCCACTGTTACGAATCTCAATGCAAACATAAAACAGGGAGGTGCTCCTAGGCTCCCTTGTAAAAAGGTCTTTCAACCCCTAAAGGGTCAAGACTTATAAGTTGAGAAGATGCTTTGAGTTTTTTTGCCAGACTGCTTAGGTCATTGTCTTGATGCATCACGATGTAGGAACATCCCAGTATCTGGTACTTAGTATTTGGTGTTCATAGTTGTGGCCTTAATTTTTAGTCTTTTATTTTTATTTCAAATGTTAATAATATAAAAAATTTAAATATAACTTTCCTCTTTCAAAAGTTGAAAATCTCTCAACTGTGTGCTCATACTATATCAAAAATAAAGTACCTGTTTTTACTTCAAGAGGAAAGATCTAGGGCGCAATCACAGTATGCATTGACAAAACCAAACTCCAACAGTGCAAACAATTCAAAGGTCAATATCCGGGATTCATTCACAATCCTTGGGGTTTTCTTGAGAGTCTTGGATAACCTTTTTGGCCCCAGCGTCTGCAGAATATACATAACCTGTCTTCCAGATCTCAGTCTAATCCATTTCATTGTTGGTGATGCTTCTAGTGATTATCACATGGCACTAGCATTTCCGAAACTGCTAAGGTCCACCATTGCAACTGGGCTCTCCTTAGGAACCCTTAAAACCAATACCACCTGGGGAACTTTTAAATTACAAAGTTTAGCTGCAAGAGAAAGGTAAATTCTTGCATTTAAAAGCCTGGAGGTACAGCTTCAATACCTTATTAAACAAATATTGGTTTGAAATCCTATCTTTCATAAACCTTGTTTCCAGAACAGGACAGGAATTATCATACAAAAATCTGTTCTAATCCAAAATATCTTGGAGACCTGTTATTGCCTCCTTGGTAGGCCCATTACATGTTGTCACCTTTAATCAAGATGGTGGTGAAATTACATGGCATCCATCTTCTCTACCCCTAGCAAAGACGGCTGTCAGCAATGCTGGCTGCCTAAACATGGTGAAGTCACATGATATCAGACCTCTCCAATCCTAGTAGAAATGACAACCAGCCATGTGGTGATAATTCAAAAGGGAATCATACCCATGGTTCCTTTAAAATTACCCATGCATAGTTTTTTTAAATTATCAACTCCCAGTGTCACTAGTTTTAACTTTTTAAAAAGATTTTATAGATTTTTAACCATGTCCAACAAGAATAAACTTATAAATATTGAGGTACAGAATGTTCACTTAAGCCGTTTGTTTGTTTGTGGCTGTTCTGCTTTGCTTTCTTTTCCTTGTCACTGTGTCAAGCGCATCAGATGACCCAGGACATGCTTGGATTTAGTGAGGGAAGAGCCATAAATGAATTCAAGAGTCAGTTTTCAAATAAAATAGAACAGCATGAAACAAATTTAATGATATCAACACCAAAAAAAGACATCTAAACTCATGCTAGCCAGAATCCAGTGACCAGAGAGCTCAGATAAATTCTGAGCCTCAACCACAAATGCAGCCATGTGGTCACTGGTGCCTGGCACACAGAAGCAGCCTTGCTTTATCTTTTCCAATAATCATTGATATTAATGAAATACATTTCATCAGTTTTTAGACTCATTGAAAGACCCAAACAAATGGAAAGTCACCCAATGCCCTAAAACAGGAACTTTAATGTTGTTGACTTGTGTGATAACTCAGGTCTTCCCAACTTATTCTATGAAGACACATTTTTAAAAATATAATATGTACTTAATTTTTGGAGAGTTTCATTCAATGAATTTGTTCATATTCACCCTCCACTCTTCCCCATAACTCCTCCTGGATCTACCCCTCCACTCCCTACCCCTCTCCCATGTCTTCTTTGTGTTTTATAACACACTGATTCCAATTTGTACCATACATGTACTCATGGGGTGGGACCGCCCACTAGAGTTTGGTCAATTTACTAGAAGCCACAGCCTTACAAACAATTAGCTCTCTTTTCCCTAGAATCTATCAGCTGTCAATACCTCACCCCACCCAATCCCAAGGCTAGGTCGACTGGCTTGAAAATATGCAAGTCTGTACAAGCACCCACAGCTGATGGCATGAGAAATTTAGTGGAACTTCATTTCAGTTTCTCTTTAGAAACTCCTTTGATGTCCTTTTTAAAACTAACTCCTATGTCCCCTAAATAAATTTTGGCAGTGTTCCTTGAAAATTGCTTTAGCAAGCTTCCCAAGAAGAAAGAAAAATCCTATTGTTCATAAAGCAATGAGAGGAAGAGGGAATGAAATGGGCTGGTAGTCATCAAATATCAGAAAATTATCTTTGTGCTTCTAGCCTAGTCATGTTAGATAAAAAGATAGATCACCAATCTTGTAACTCACTCAAATCCTTTATCCTTTCCCTCTAACATACAAGAAGATCCCAGTAAGTCACATTCTTAAAAGGCCAGTGAAAGAACATCTTTAAATGTGCCTTACTCAGAATCACCCACTATAACAGCTGGGAGCCCAATGAGAGGCAAAGTGGTAGGAGGGAAAACCATCTGGGATTTGGACTTGGGTCTACCATCCTACACCAAGTCATGAAACCTCTTTCTCAATCTCAGCCTCTTCGCCAGCAAATTGGAGGCAATAATACATCTCAATCATAAGACTCACCGAGAGGCAGATTAACTGAAAATGTGCTCCTAAAAAACCTGCTTATAACATTTGTGTAGAAATGGTGGCTATGAATTACTATTATGGTTTTAATATGAAATGTACCACACAGGGTACCTTTGGATCGAACTATATTCTTTGCTGGCGTCACTATTTTGAGAAGCAATAGGAACTTTAGGCCACAGGAGTTAGCAAGAGGAAGTAGGTCACGCACAGGGGCTTGCTATTGGTCATACCTGCTCCTCGGTCCTTTGCTTGCTTTCTCTGATTTCTGGCTGCTGGGAGGTGAATAGGCTCCTGCCTCCATGATGTCCCGCCTTTCCAAATAGAATCAACAAAGCGTAGGACTATGAACGGAAACCATGAACCAAAACATGTCCTTCCTCTCAACTTGTTTGTCAGGTACTGTTTCACAGTGAGGAAAAGTCTGAAACTCTTCTGAGGTGCAACCTCCTCATTTTACACAGGAGAATTTTAAACTAAATAAAGAGAAGAAGCTAGAACAAGAACAGCAGTGAACAGCAATTCTTCAGGGTCTTAATTGCCAAGTGGCTTTTAAAAAGTTAAATGTAAGATCTAAAATCCTTCAGCTAATTTCTTCACAGAATTTTGTCTGCCCATAAAGCAAGCTGTCCCCTGTGTCCTACAGTGTCCAAATATTCCCTTAGCTTATGAATTCTATGAAATAGAGAGCCCCCTAATTATCTCTAAATTATCAGTCTGCAATCCTTCTAGCTAAAATATTATGATAAAAACTGTCTGCTTCACTTGTCTCCTATATGGCACATGATATAAGAAAGTGTCTGTTATTCAATAGAAAACATTTAGCAGTACGTCTAAATAATAAAAGCTGCCATCTATCAGGCATTTACTATGTGACAGTCACTGAACCAAACACATTGCCCACACTATTTCTTTTAATCCTCACACAGGTGTATAAGATAAAAACTGTTATACTGGTTAGAGTTTTTGTTTGTTTGCTTGTTTTTTAAAAGTGTTTGTGGAAGATAAACAGATCTCTGCACTGGTTTTTGTTAATTTTTTAATGTGCAGTGGTGTTTTGCCTCCACGTCTGTCTGTGGGAGGTGTCAGAAGCCCTGGAACTGGAGTTACAGACAACTGCGAGCTGCTATATAGGTGCTGGGAATTGAACCCGGGTCCTCTGGAAGAGCAGTCAGTGTTCTTAACCACTGAGCCATCTCTCCAGCCCTTGGTTAGTTTGTTTTTATGGCTTTTTTGTTATTGGTGTTGCAAACTTGACACAAGCTAGGAACAGCTGAGAAAAAGGGACCTCAATTGAGAAAATGTCTCCATCAGATTGACTTGTAGGCAAGTCTGTGGAGTAGTGTTTATTTATTTGTTTGTTTTTATTTATTTTTTATGCGTGGATGTAGAGGTCAGAGGACAACCTTCCATCATGTGGGCCTGGGATTTGAACTCAGATTGCCAGGCTTGGCAGCAAATGCCCTTACCCACAGAGTTATCTCTTCAGCTCAGTTTCACCATTGTCATGATTAATGACTGGCTTGGGAGGGCCCAGCTCACTGGGGATGGAACCACCCCTGGGCAGATGGTCCTGGGTATAAGAAAGCAGGTTGAGCAGGCCATGAGGAGCAAGCCAGTACACGGTGACTTGGGCTTCAGTTTCTGCCTCCAGGTCCCTGCCTTGGCTTCCCTTGGTAGTCTGTGAGCTAAAAGGAACCCGTGAGTCCCCTAAGCTGCGTTTGACAAATGTTTCATCACAGCAGCAGAAAGCAGACTAGGATACTCCTATTTCTAACAGTGGAAAATTGGGCAAAAATCCTGGATGTTCATCAATTTAAGAAAGCATGAATGCGGATGAACATCTATGTTTTAGATTATTATCATATGCACCCACCTAAAAGAGAAGCAAGGCCTCTTTTCATAACAGCCTACTTCCAGGAACTGAAACTAGGTTCTCTGCAGGAGCAGAGGCAATCATTTTGTTTGTTTGTTTTTTTGAGACAGGGTTTCTCTGTGGCGTTATAGGCTGTCCTGGAACTCACTCTGTAAACAAGGCTGGTATCGAACAGACAGAGATGCACCTGCCTCTACCACCGGAGTGATGGGATTAAAGGCATGCACTGTTACTACCCTGCAAGCAGAAGAAATCTTAATCACTAAGTCATTTCTTTAGCCCCTAACATCCTACTTCTATATTAGACCCCTTTCATGAGAAGAAATTTAAAACAAATATGTTGAAAGTGAGCCTATAGATTTTAAGAGTATCATTTCTTTTCTTTCTTTCTTTCTTTTTTTTTTTTTGGAGGCAGGGTTTCTCTGTGGCTTTGGAGGCTGTCCTGGAACTAGCTCTTGTAGACCAGTCTGGTCTCGAACTCACAGAGATCCTCCTGCCTCTGCCTCCCCAGTTCTGGGATTAAAGGTGTATGCCACCAATGCTCAGCAAGAGTGTCATTTCTAATCTAGGCTACTTAATTAAGTAGGTAGCTTGCAGAATCTGTGGATAACCTCAGCCTTCTGAGAGCCTGTTTCAACATCAACATTTCCAATTTTTGCCTGAGGCCTGAAACCATGACTCAGTCATTTATAATAATTTGTTGGTCTTGCAGGGGACCTGGGTTTAATTCCCAACATTCAAGTGGTGGTTCACAACCATCTGTAATTCCACTTCTGGGGGATCTGATGCCCTCTTCTGACCCCGCAGGAACCAAGTATGCATTTGGTATACACACATACATATGTTCAGGCAAAACATTTATACAAAATTAAATTAATAAATCTAATAAAATTATTTTTGCTTAGTTTTCACCCTTAGAAATAGTGCTCCAATTAATATCCTTACACATGTATCTTTTGGTATCTGGCTAAGCTTTTTTAAATATGCTGTGGATATAGTTTGGTGGCATAATGCTTGTCCAGCCTGCACAATACCGCAAGATTTAGTAATCCCCACCACTGCAAAATCAGAAAACAAAAGCTCTTTGTAAGGAGACTTCTGTAAGTGGAAATGATGTCAGAGAGGATGTACATTCTACATTTTTAAAGATCTTCTCAAACTGTCTTTTGTAAAGGCCTCAGCCAGAGTGTGTTTGCCAGTTTCTTCAAATCCTTTCCAAAATCAAAAGATATCAATCAGAAAGGCTTGCTCATCTGATAGACAGAAAAATATGTTTCTTGTTGTCTAAATTGCTTTCACATGCCTATCCTAGAAGTCTGGAGGCAGAGTCACAAGGATTTTTTTTCTGTTTTTGATTTTTTTTGAGACAGAATTTCTTTGTGCAGTCCTGGATGCCTTGGAATTCTGTACTCCAGGTTGGCTTCAAACTCCAAGATCCACCTCCCCTGCCGCCTGAGCGCTGGAACTAAAGGCACTTGCCACCATTGCAGGGCAAATATTTGTCATTGTTTGTTTTGTTTTTTCAAGACAGGGTTTCACTGTGTAGCTCTGGTTGTCCTGGAACTCACTATGTAGACCAGGCTGTACTCTAGAGATATGCCTGCTTCTGCCTCCCGGGTGCTGGGCTTAAAGGTGTGCACCACTACACCCAGCTTAAAATATTCTTTATGAAATTGTGGGCTTTCATTTACTTAACACTGAACAGGAGTGCGACATTCTAAATATTACTAAAAATTTCTTAATATATAACAATAGTATGTCATAATTCTCTAATATGCATGTCCCACATAATTTATTTACTCACTCCCAACCCACTTTGTGGGAAATTTTAATTGGTTTCTAAATTATTCCAGTATTATAAATTATGAATATCTTTGCTCATAAATTTGTGTTTCTATTTACTTTTGGAACATTTAAAACTCACTGAATGAGATAATAGAATTTAAGGTAATTGACACATTATCAAAACAGTGGTTATGCACACCTTTAATTCTAGCACTTGGGAGGCAGAGGCCGGAGGATCTCTGAATTCACTCATGGGCAGCCTGGTCTACAGAGGAAGTTTCAGGACAGCCAGTGTTGTGCAGAGAAACCCAGTCTCATTAAAACAAACAAAAACACACTTCCTCTAATTTTCGAAAGAAACTGAATAATAATTTGCAAACATGTTGACAGGTAAATGACCAATAAGAAAATGAATTTATACTCTGTTGTAAAGTATCATATGTAATTTTAAATTGAACATATCAGTTCTTTAAAAATTCCATCAGCCAAAAATAGTATTTGAGTCAGAGCAAAGGGAAGTCATTTCTTTTGTTTAAGATTTGAATTTGGGTCATCATTGTCATGCTCCTCATCCCCGTCCCGGGGTACAATGTATTTTAACATTATACTGGGAAAACAGCAAAAAGAGAGCAAGTTTAATTAAGCAGAAATCACTAACCTTAAATCTTGCCTTTTTCTCCTCCACCCTGTTTTTCAACAGCTTGTAGAAGCTTCTTCTGCTTGGGAACATGAAGAAACTGACCACGGACTAAAAGAAAGACTGCAGAAACACAAGAAAAGTACTCGTAGAAAGTAAATCTGGAAATGAACAAGGAAGAATAGCCAAGAGGTAAGAAAAATATTGAGAACTGATACAGTCTACAAATGATGAGATCAATTCCCCCATACATTTATCTGATTGACTTTTTTGTTGTTTTTTTTGAAACAGGGTTTCTCTGTGTAACAGTCTGACTGTGACTTTCAATAGCTCCTTTATCTGATTTGTTGGGAGTTGGGGTAAAGGAAGTAACATGATCAAAATATTGTATGAAAATATTTTTGTTTGAATATTGTACAAAAATATTGCATGGAGACTATATTTAATTACAAAACAAAGATGGGGAAACTTCTCAGACTGAGACAAGATCCTACCTAATGTGATGACCATGTCCGTTACACTCAACTGAGATGGTCTTTTCCATTTGCAATTGGAGCCTCTGTTAACAGTCTAGAAGATGCAATCTATTTAGGCAGGATTATGTTACATTTAGGTACAGCAGAGCATAAGCCTGTTTATAATCTTGCTTGGAACAAAGAGTCAATGGTAATGAGTTGACCCTGATCTGTAAGACCTACATCACAAAGTCGGCAGAGAGGCCTCATTGGTGGCAGGGGAGAATCACATTAGCATTTTTATGTCTTTTCCTACAAGCAAGGAGGAAGGCATTTCAAAACCTAGTACTCCCTGTAGAAAACAAAAACACACTATCAGATCATATGACAGTCAAAGTGACATCATTTTAGGTCATAGAAGTTAGGGAATTAAGACTGGAAAAGTTCAGTAGACGCCAATTATTATATCCACTGACTAGAAAACTCTCTGTCCTGTCAGAACCAGTTACACTGTGTTTTATAAACAAACAAATATGACACATATTGCAAAACACGGATTAA